ACACATTATGTGTGTGTGTGTGTGTGTTTGTTGTGCTGTAATTATCTATATTCATGTCTTCCAATAATAACGTATTTAAATGGTACAATAGTTTGATTTAGCAGTACTTTCTCAAGTCTGTCTTTCTTGGCTCTCACACACACACACACACACACAGACCCACAAATAATATAGCAATAACAACCATAATCCAACATAACTATATTTTTGCCCTTTTTTTTTTAACAGATACTACAACAATGCTTACTATGCCAAAGTTGGAGGCATAAGCACGGCAGAGATGAACCTTCTAGAAGTAGATTTCTTGTTCGGCCTGAGCTTCGAACTGAACGTGTCGACTGCCACGTTTCACCACTATTTCGGTTATCTTCAGAGGGAGATTCTCCTCGAGCTTCCTCCCATTTATGTAGTCCCATCTACACCATCACTAAATCTTGGCGCGAAAGATAAGTTCCATTTTTGCGTCAACGAGGAAGGATCTACAGCTCATCAACAACAACAGCAATTGGCCGTTTAGCTTGTGGCTGGCGTAGTTTTTCAATCCATAGTTTTTTTCATTGGTTTTTGGTAGAAAAGAAACCGAGACTTTAGAAAGAAAACATTAAACTTACACAGATGGAAGAGTATTAAGTGCCAAGAAACTGTCTGTCTCTTTTCTTTAGCTAAAGCCTAAGTTTTTGTTCAAGTTCGACTCAGTGATTAAACGAGCAATCATTCGTCGAACTCAAAATAAGTTAGAATCGTAGGGGAGTTCAATTCATTTACAACTTTCATCAGACGAGAAATTTAAAAGAACTTAGTTTGGTAAGCAAATAAGCTAGTTTATAGCTTATTTTATTGCTTAAATATTATAAGCTTCTTGTATTTAAATAAGTTTAATTACGTGGGATGAACTTTTTTTAGTTTTTCAGCCATAAGTCATACGCTATCAGCTATAAGCTCATAATTTACTTAAAAGTTATAATTTAACTTATCAGATATAAACTTATAACTAGCTTATCAGTTATTTTTGCTAAACATAGCCTAAATAGTTCAACAAATCCAAAAGTCTAAGTATGTATTATTACTCGTCCAGAACAACCCGCGATGAAGACACATTTTGTCGCCACAAAAGTTGATTTACAAGGAAAAATACAACACTTCAAACTATTAACAATCAAGTATCTTTTTCAACAGCAAGAAATTATTGATATCATACACCGCTATTGCTTTTGGGCTTTCACGCATCCTCAGCCATAGCAACGAATCGGGTCATTGCAACCTTTCTCAGTCGACTGTCTGAAACCAAACCTACCTCCTTTTGCAAGGTACTGCTGGTGATACTCTTCGGCTCTGTAGAATTTCTTGGCGGGAAGAATCTCCGTCACGATCTTCCTGTTCAAGACTTTTTGCTGCCTCTCCTTAGACGCGATTGCTGCTTCCTCTTGTTCAGGGGTATAGAAGTAAATTCCGGATCTGTATTGAGTTCCTACGTCATTCCCCTGCATTTAGACACAAAGATAAAAAAACACTTGATACAAGTTTCGAAATGTAAAAACATGGGTCTTTTTTTGTTTTGTTTTTGTTTTTTTCAAAAAATGGACTAAACCTCACAGGTAGTTTTTGTATATAATACTACAATTTTTATTACAGCACAAAGCTTGCCCTCAAAATTAACATTTAACTCAATGAAGTGACTCTGATAATGATTTCCTTCCAATTGTACCAAACTTGTGTTGAAGGGTGGTGCACATGAGCGAGCTGCTATTACTTTTTAATTTTCAGTACATTTATAAACTACAGCGAAAACTATAAAACGGGTAGTTTCAACATCTCAACATTTTAGTACTAAATTATCCAGTAATTTCCATCCAAACAGTTCAACTTCAACACTGACAAGTAGAACTCTTAGCACATTATTCTCAACACAATTTCTTTATTTTTCGTAACAAAGAAGTCAAGGTCACTGCTTTAATCAAAATCCAACCGAAACTATTTCAGGAATGAGACATGTTTAGTCCACTGATATGCTACTTTCGTTTGAGTACAATTAACTTACTGAAGTCCACAAGAAATGCCAAACTAATTTCGTATTTGCTCGAACCCAACAAAAAAAAAAAAAAAAAATCAGATGTCACAAATCAAAACCCACAGCAATCAAGATACAAACACTAAAGCCATAATTTGATAAGCATTCTGCAAACCGAGCTCAAAACCAAGTAACCAACAAAGACATATTAAAACGGTTGGTCTTGTATTAGGTCGGTCTAACCATTATACCGACATACTCTTTTCATAAATGTTTGTAACTTTCATTAGAAAATATCGAACTTAAAAAATACATAAACAGAAGTATGACATTTGGATTTGATTGCATAAGTATGCATTGTTGTTCAAATAGTACGACTCGGTTAAGCTGCTTCACACAAGAAGAATTTCTGATTGTGAAAGTATATCCACCAAATAATCACGAATCAAACAATAACCATTGAATTCAGCACAGATAACTTCATTCAATCCACCAAACTATCATATAACATCGTTTCCGTATTCACTCAAACCCGACAAAAAAAATCATAGAGATCACAAAATCAAAACCCACAGCAATCAAGTCACAAACAACTAAACCCATAATTTGATAAGCACCCTGCAAACCCAGCTCAGAACCAAGTAAATCAAACAACATATTATGAAAATAAACCCACCAAATAACCATGATTCAAACAAATAACCTTCAATTCAGCACAAATACCTTCAATTCAATCCAAAAGAATGAATCTTGAAAATATCAAATGAACAAGGCATATAAAATCAAACATCTAACTCAAAATGACCCTCTTCCCATAATTGATTACATAAAACAAACCACAGAAAATCAATAAAAGAGAACCCACCTGACGATTGAGAGTTGTCGGGTCATGCCTCGCCCAGAAAACATCAAGCAGGGTATCAAAGCTGCACTCTTTCGGGTCATACTGTACCCGGACCACCTCCGAGTGGTTCGTAGTGCCCGAGCAGATATCCTCGTACGTCGGGTCGTGCAGACGGCCCTGGCTGTACCCGACTTCGGTCCGGGTGACACCCGGCACCCTCTGGAAGGCCAATTCGACACCCCAGAAGCAGCCCGCCCCGAATTGGGCAAACTGCTGACCCGGGGCGGGTATGTCGTCGTCGGGTCCCTGGGCGATGGCCGAGGAAGAGGACGAGTCCACGGAGGGGTCGGTGGGGGAGCGGGCACCAAAGCCCAGCCGACTGAGCCAGCTCATCCTCGGGGTGGAGGGCCTGAGGGCGAGGGTACGGGGGGAATTGAAGCAATTGGGGAGGGGTAGTTTGGGGATAGAGAGGGGGGCTTTGAAGAGGGAGGAGCAGAGGGAAGGTGTGGCTATGGTGGTGGCTGCGCTTTTGAGGAGCATTTTTAGTTTCTTTTGAGAGAATCTGAGAGAGGTTACGTGCTGGGGTTAGTGTATGTATTTTCTGATTTGGTTTTAATTTGATTTTTTTAGTGTTGTCGGTTCAATTATTTTTACTTCAATTCCAATTTTCGTTCTTGGATGGATTCAATTTTGCACAAACTAAACCAAATAACTAAAATTCTCTCTTCCACAAAAAACTCTTCCTCTCCCTCTATAAAGCACATCCCTTCACCTCCGCGTCCCCGCCGGCGCTAGCGTACTCATTCGGCCATGGGTTGGGCTTGACGGCAACACCCTCTCTCCGGCTGAGGTATGGTGGTCGATGGAGGAGGACTCCCTCGCGCCGTCCTCCCTTTCCCAGGGTTGGGGGCTGAGGTTGGAGTCGGCAGCCCGTTCCGTGTGGTTTCCCAGGTGGGCTTTCTTGTCAGCTCTTTATTCCGGCTTATAGCTTTTGTGAGTTCATATTGGGCTTGAATTTCGATTCCTCGTTAGATCTGTCTAGTCGCTCGAGTCCTGACCAAAGTTGTTAGATTTGGGGGTTTTAGGTTTGTACTCTCATTTAGTTGTGATTGTGGAGGTTGGCCTATGTTCTGGGTAGTGTGGCGGTTGTTGTGTGTGGGTTTGAGAAGAGCAGCATAGGTTTTATTGTATTAGTAGGTGTGTGTTGTTTTAGTGTTTTTTGTTGTGTTTTCTTTGTTAGTATTCCTTGGTGGAGTTTTCTTGTGTTTTGTTTTGTTAGTCTCAATTCGTGAAGATTTTAAGTCTCCTTTGTGGAGTTTTTTAGTTTTGAAATTTATTATATTAGGCCCTTTGTGAAGTGGGAGCGCTATGTTTAGTGACTCACATTTTTGTAACCATTTGGTTACCAATTGTACTTATTTCGAGTTTTTATATAAATATTTGCCGTTTTGAGAAAAAAACCAAATAACTTAAGCAAATTGTGCAATTAAGTGCGTTGTTGTTATTATTATTATTATTATTATTATTATTATTATTATTATTATTATTATTATTATTTTTATAAAAAATTAGTGTTTCATTACCGCAAAGTTGTTTAGGGTGTATACAATTTGGTTTTCGGACCACGATTGGAAATGATTGAATTTCTTGATATATGAATATATATTAATAAAATCGAGATGATAATTATTGTGCATATTGTTTGTCGATTTTGAACAAATGTTTAGTAACCAAGAAGTAGGGCTTGCGTGGAACAACATCAGTGCAGCGCATCATCTTCCCAGGCGGTTCAATCTATGATTTAGCATTCAAAACCCCTTCTTACTCTCTCAAAATTACACATGATTCTATCATGACAAAGCAGCCAAAGGGATAAAAGAACCCCGTCTTGATTGTTTTCTAAAGGGTTAGATCGACATTCTGCGTCCTCCGGAGTCGTATTGGCACATGCCTCCTATGACCTAAATTCCGACATTGGCACTGGTTATGTAACGATTCCTTTGTGACGATCATACCGCTGACATGACTTTATTCATATCAATGTCGCCCTCAATGTGATAAGGATTGTCGGCTACAAAATCGATATATGTCTTGTCTCCAAAAAGGCGAGCTTGCGCCTGATCCCCTTAGACGCACGCCAAGTGCCAGTGATTCGTCAAGTAGTTATGATGATTTTTCACTTTTTACCTAGTATAAATTGTAATAACCTGCTTGAGGTTAAACCATTGAAAAATCGCAGAAAAATATCAAACAATACATCAAAAAACACGCAAGACATGTAAGCTTAATGCAACAAGTATTAATTTCATCATAGTTCTTGTCTTGTTTATCGTAATTACATCTCGTAGTTATTACAATCTTTGTTGCTAATTCCGTATGTCAACAATAATTAGTTGGGAAAAGTCTACAAAGTGTATTCATTTGAGATTTATATAGGCTTTTTAAGACACTAGAAATAATGGTATATTTAATTTAAACTTTTTAAAACTTTTAAAAGTCTTCGGTACTCATTAGTCTCAAAATATAAGTTGAAATACATTTGCTCCACAAATTTGTATGTAATTTAAGAAGAGATGAACTCGTATGTACTCAAGGAGAATGACTAGAATCGCAATAGAAAATTTGACACCAGCTTTCTTAAACTGGTCTATCTTATTATGATTTAGTTTTTTTTCTCCTTTATTAAAAGGAGAAGATTTAGTTAATTATTCCTCTACAAATTATTAAAAAAACTAAAAACAAATTCTTGTGAGAGGAAGCTCAGTCGTATGGTTGGTCTACCCGTTTATATATATATATACATATGTATATATATATATATTTAAAATATCATTCTTTTAATTATGTTTATTATTGTATTATAACATTTCATTTAAATTATATAAATCTACTGAGAAAATATAAGGGCCTATAGATCTAGCTATCAGGAAAGAAGCATTACAATAATCAACTAACACAATAGTTAAGAGAGCAATTGGATATAAATAAAATTGATTTTGTTTGACTTATTGATTAAAATGAGTTAATTTTGAATAAAGTTGATTTATCGTAGAATTGAGTGAGATGTTGAGTTCGCATTTAGAACATCTCCAACCTATCCTCTAAAAATAGCGAAAACGGCATTCATGGAGAAAATTTTGCTCCAATGCAATTGACATCTCTCTGACGTTTCAGGAGAGGTTTGTGGAACGGTGGGAAAACCATTCTACTGTTCATCTCTCTTGTTTTTTACTTTTTTTTTAGTAAAAATTAGTTGGGTTGGCAAATTTTAGACCATGCATTGGGCTTCTTCTTCTTTTTTTCCTTTTTTAACTGCAATTGGGCTATAATCATAGATTAAATTGGGCAAGACGAGTTGGGTTATTTTTTTATTTTTCATAAGTTAATTAGTGTTGATGTCAAAAATTGTATCAACATCCCAAATATTAATCAAAATTTGCACATTTATGAAGAATAAAAAGATAAGGGATGAAGCTCATTTTTATTGATACTTTGGGAGATTTTTTTTTTCCATCTCTCTCCCTTTGGATAAACTTAACCTCTCTCCTCACAATAGTTGTAGTAAAAAATATATATGGCCTCCCCTGTGGACAAAAAATAATGAGGAATAAAATAATATAAATGATATTTTAATATGATGTGACTGTGTGAGGCCCAATTATGACCCAATTATGACGCTTGATGAACGTCTGTCTCGTCGGTAATGTGCATCCTCGAAAGACGGCTTCTTTACTGTATCCGAGTCGTTCGACTTATTAGATTATGTCCGGCCCTGCGATAGAAGAGCTCGGTATTTGAGTAAGTATTCATCCTCCGTGGTCGAGTCACTTCGAAAATAATCCAGGTCGTTCCAGAATGGACCCGGTCGACATCTCAAAAAACATGTCATTTATATGTTTATTTATTGCATATTTTAACTCCTTGTTTACTTTGCCATATGTCATATTTTTATTAATCGTGGCCAAATTGGGTATTAACAATAAATTTTATGAATTAAATTAAAATATTTATTAAAATTTTAGACTTAATTATTGTAACTTAATATTTTATAATTTAATTAGCATTTTAATTAGTAATTAAACTCACTTAAATAAATATTACAAACAAACAAGTTAAAATTGCAAAATAAGGATAAACTAATAAACTTTCAAATCACTTAAAATTAACAGTTCAAATACTAAAGTGTAATTTTATGGTTTTAATGTAATTATTAACTAATAATATTACTTAATAATTAATATATACACATAAATATGTAAATTTTATGCAACTATAAGGGACTAAGATGTAATTTGTAGAAATCATTTAATAAATCGATAAAACTATAAAAGAATGTGCTATGAATATTCTTTTAAAGAGAAGAATTATAGAAGGAATGTGTTGGAGTTGTTGCAGTATTGAACCTTAAAAACAGTGTGATATCATTGTAGAGTTTATGGTTGGAGATGCTCTAAAATAATATTTAAATGTAACGGTTAAAGTTGATGTGATATAAAAGTAGGAGACGGGTTAATGGTAATGATATGTAGCTAAATATATACGAGTGGATGAATAGTGAATTAAAGTTAATGTGATGAGTCGGAATGATTAATTGATATGATTTAATTATATTGATCATATGATCATATTGATGAGAGTTAAGAGGATTAAACTGAATTAAATTTTGAGTTACGTAGTGTAAAAAAATTACCCAAACACGAAAACAGACATCAACAAGAACCTCTCAAGTCCGACTTCACATGACGCAAAACAACACGGACAACGATGCCACAAACCCCTCGATTAATACCCGATCCACACCAATCGTGTTGACAAAAGACGAGCTGATGGGATTACTAGTGCTAGAAGATCCAGCAGGCGGGAGAACACCCCCGGGCTGGGCCTCGGGCGACCCAACAGGTGACCCAACAGGCGACCCAAAAGGCGACAAAGCCTGGTTCCCGACAACATTTACGTGAAGTTTCATTCCCCCGAGACAGTGCAACCTGTTGCCGCAAACAAAGTACCTGTCCCCTGGCCTCGTCAGTGCAAAAGACGTGTTGCTGTTGCTGCTCGTTTGTAGCACGTTGCCCGTGTTACACCCTTCGTAGTTTTCCTTTGTCACCTCGCTCACGGAATGGTACTTCGAATATTGGAACACTGCCGAATAATAAGTATAAAAAAAGAGTATATCAGTAATACTCAATAACGTTGTGCTACATAGTAATTATTGAACGTGTGGAGAGTTTGACTTACGTAAAGTGTCACCGACGACAAATGTCTTGCCTTGTTTCCAAGAATCGAGGTCGGTGCTGATGTCCCAACCGCCGTTGTCGCCCACAGTGTAGACAGTTGCCGAACATTTTGAGATGGAACAACATAGTAAGAGTGAGATTATGGGTATTAGAAGAAGCTTTGCCATCTCCTGATAAAGTTAGCCGTAGGAAGATGAGATCTGGTGGCACTTTATAGAGATTTTGGAAGCTGATAGACTTTCTTTTCTTTTCTTTTTTTTTTTTTTTTTTTTTTTTTTTTTTTTTTTTTTTTTTTTTTTTTTTTTTTCATTTTATCCTACATTTGATTGTAGTTGCTTAAGATTAGATTACCTAACTTCTTGTTTTCTTGATCAAATTCTGAACAATATGCTGCATTGTTAGAGTAGCAGAAAAAAAGGTCAATTTGTTGGTAAGTTGGCTAGGAGTTGAACGCTCACTAGCCTCATTACAATTGACTAAATTCAACTCCATTGCATGCTAAAATCAAAATTGTGCTGCTTATTTACAGATCTGAAGGTAATGTTTTTCGAACACATCATGGTATAACATCCAGTGTGTCTCCTGTATCAAAAGCTATTATCTAGGCACTTGGGTGACTTTCCAACTTCATCTCATATGCAGTAAGGAAAATTGTCACGTTCTAACATTAAAGACGACTAGACCACATCCCCACAGCAAGCAAACGCCCGACTGAAAACGGACATGGTCCTGACATGTCTTCATTTTTATTGAAAAATTGCAAGTTTTGGAAATAAAATGTGTGATATGTGAGAAAACAATATACTGGCACGAGAATAATAACTGAAATTCCCGTTTCCGAGATCAAAATACTTGGGGGATATAGCAAGATAGTTGGAGCCCTAATGGAAATAACCTAGTCAATGACAACACGCACTGAATCCAGAACTTTCTAGATCAATTTCTCAACAAGAAATGAAGCCAACAGTCACAAAAGAAATACAGCTGATTTAAGGAGCTATATGGCTGTCTCAACTAAAACAATCTATGAATCACACTGGATCACCAAGAGAGGAGTCTTAAAAGGCAGAAATTGGAGAATTCTTGCGACTTCATAGGGACTTCATAGGGAAACCGCGTAGTCTTCATATGGGTTTGATCTTGAAGTGCAATGAGATGAGCGAGAAGACAAAACATTTAAGATCCTGCAGCAGTAAAGTAAACAATATTGATTCTCGGAGACCCGGCAAAATAAAAGCATAAACACTCGAATGTTGATTTTGCATATATAACAAGAACATTACTACAAATACTAGTCTTTTCTAGACTATAATATAACAATAAATTAAAATGTATTCTAAGCACGACAATAGCTGAATTGCGGGGAAGTTTGTCCTGAATAAGCACAAAAAAAAAAAAAAAGGATTGTCGAAGCAATTTAACACAATGATTCCCCTAGATAGAAATGGTAACCACACGTAATTGATCAAGGTGGGAGTCCATGATCAATGCTTATCTTTATACGGAATAACTGATGGGGAGTATGTGTGGCTTCCAATAATACCACAATCTGTTTATACGGTTTAACATGATAATCAGTTATGGGAACAAAATTTATTCTTTCTATTGTTATAAGAAACGGAAATTAGTTCATTCTGTATGACCCGTATAAACAATGTAGAGCAGATTAAATTTCTACTCCACCAGGAAGCAGAGTTGCCAATAGATGTTTTCTCCCCATCTGCTGTAGAAAACGAGTTCTGATCACTAATATCAATTTCTTTATTAAAAATGTATGAATTAAGGTCTCACTCAGCAATCACAAGCCTTTCATCAATGAATACATACTGTGAAAGATATGCTTACTGAATTGGGCATGCAGCAGCATAGAAAGCAAGTTTCAGTGAAATTTTCCAATCAATTTCAAAGTATCAAGCTGAAAGAGATTGCAAGACATGCATCCATACACTGCCCACAAAGCGTACACCGTTGCTTCATGACAACAAACTATTGCAGAAGTTAGCCACATGAACAGCAATCAGCCCCAATTTAATCTAAATAATACTCCACTTTTTTCATCTTATTGGGCAGCCGAAATCAATTACACACAACCTCTTAATCATACATCCTCTAGGAGAATCAGCCTTAAGAGTCCCATGTTCAAATCATGCATTTTACCACAGCTCCCCACGAGAAATCACATGGACAAATAGAATATCTCATCCATTGCCCAACAGTAACACATCAAAGCAAGTCAAGGACAAGGCATAAAACTGCTGATAATTCCATCTCCTCCATCATGAGTGCCATGCTAAATGTAAAAAGACAAATGCACATTCCAGCAAAATAAGGTTCAGACAACCTAGGAACCTCAAGTATTAACACAGTCCATACCGGCTTGAACAAGCTTAATATATACTACCAGAAAGACCCAATAATACATGCTTGAAGCATAATTCCCTTAGAAATAAATGATAAGTAAACAAAA